TCAATCCCCTGTCCTTGTATTATAAATTATGGAAATTATGAGAAATTATGAGATGGATACCTAAGAGTACCTTCTTAATGTTGACCAGAAAGTTTCTGTTCTTATCTTCCATGTATGATTAGTAATTTGTGTCTTGATCCAAACTAATGATTAGGACTAGCAATATCATAAACAGAATTATGAACCTTGTGTATATTTCAGCCTCTGTTATTATGCCCTATGTTACTTCTCCCCTTTTAGGTTTACATGATAGACGTCTAGGTTTCTTGGATGGGCTAAAAGTATAAAAATGGATTGGAATTGTTTTTAAGCTGAATTTGTCACTAATATAGGAGTAGTACAAATCTTTACATAGCCCCATACATCTCTCCTGAAACCCTTCTAATTTTCTGAAATAAGATATTTTAAGCCCATATATTTTCATCCTGTTTCATAATTTTATGCTAGCCATCTTACATTGGAATAATGGAATATATCTGTCAACTGAAGGTGCAGATTGATTGTCTTATATAATACATCAATTGAATATCTCTAATTAACAAAAGTCTTTTTAGTATATGTTGGGGAAAGTGAGCTTATGTTGTTTTAATTTTTTAACCAATATTTTAAAAACTGTTTTTTGAAATTAGTTTCTAGTCTATTTCCATAATATGATTCTAATATATGCAATAATTATTTTATCCTACCATCTAAGAAATAGTATGCATTTTACCATCAATGGCATGTCATAGTTGACTTAGTATTTTTTTTCTTAAAAATGTACAAAATAATGACTTAATACTAATGACATATTCAAGTTTATTGAATGTGCATAGATTTTCTTCTACTGTTGTCATTTTGTGGTTTTCTGTATCGTTGTACATATAGTTTATGGGGGGCAAGGTATGGCGGGGGCAAAATGTTATTATCACCAGACTTCCCTTCCACCACATATCAGTATGAGATCCCCAAAATTCTACTAAAGTTCAGGATGATAGACCTTCCTTACTACTTGTAGTTCTAAGATCCAGTAATCCAGGAGACAAATGCTTAGCCAGTTTCATGTGTAGATGTTATAAGTGTTGCTTCTACATATGAGGAAGTACATTCCAACCAACTCAAGCTCATAATGGAGGGGGTTTTTTTTAGAATTATGATTCAATTATGATTCAATTTAGTTGTTATATCATTTTATATTTTCCATTATATTAAACATTATCAGCTTATCCATTAAATAAAACAAGTGTAGATGTTAGGAAGAAATTCCAGGTTAACTTGTCTATAAATCTTCAGGAAAAAAAATTGTATGGTTATGTATGCTGCACTGATAAAATCTAGGAAAAGACATAAAATTATTTTTTAAAAGAAATTGAGTCAGGTGTGATGACACTTGATTGTAATTGTAATCCCTGCTATTCAAGAGGCTGTGGAAGACTGCAAGTTTGAGGCCAGCCTGGGCAATTTAGTGAGTCTCAGTCTCAAAATAAATTTTAGAAAGGTCTGGACATGTAGTCCAGTGGTAGAGTGATTACCCAACACACATAAGGGCCTGGATTTAATCTTCAGTACTGAAAGAAAATCACTCTTTTAGAATATTTAATCTAGGCCCGGCACAGTAGCAAATGCCCAGTTGCTTGGGAAGGTGAACAGGAGGATCACAAGTTCAATGCCAGCAACTTAGCAAGACTCTGTCTCTAAGTAAAACTAAAAGATCTTGGAATGGAGTTCAATGGTAGAATGCTTGCCTAACATGCGCAAGGCTCTGGGTTCTATCACCACCAACCCCCCAAGAAAGCGTACAATACAGTAGTTTTCAGTACATTCACAAAGTTGGGCAATTATCACTACTACCTAATTAAGTAACTTAATTCTCATTCCCCCAGAGAATCCTGTACCTATTAACAGTCATTCCAGTTTCTTCTCTAGCTGTCAACAACCACTGATCTTTATTCTGTCTTTATGGATTTGATTCTAAAATATTTCATTTAGATGGAATTGTGCCATACATAGGCTTTTATTTCTGGCTTTCACATGTTTTCAACTTCCATCTACATTGGTAACATCAATCTGTATTTCATTCCTTTTTATGGTTAATGTTCTAGAGTATGAGTATACCACATTTTGTTGAGTGGTCATTTGGGTTGTTTCCACTTTATTACTTTTATGACTAATGCTGATATGAGTATTCATATTTAAGTGGGAAAATACGTTTTTTTGTTATCTTGCATGTATCCCTAGGGATGAAATTGTTGGATCATATGATGACTGTATGTTCAACTTTTGAATGTAATTGTTGGATCCTCTGGCAACTCTGGGTTTCAATATATTTACGTTTAACTAAACTGCCAAAGTATTCTCCTAAGCACTGGCATTGTTTTACACTCCAGACAGCATTGTTGAGGGTTCCAGTTTTTTTCAGACACTTGTTAAAGTTTCTTTTATGATAGGTATCCTAGTACATGTGAAGTGAAATCTTATTTTGGTTTTCATAATGATGTTCAGCCAAAATTATGAAAGTACTTGGATATGTACACTTTGTGGTTTTAGACTTTTTTAATTTTTTATTTGTTTTAATTAGTTACACATGACAGTACAATGACCTTGACATATCATACATTTGAATTAGATAGGATATATTAAAGTTCTTCTAAGTTAGCAATTTTTTAAGGATAGATTTTTCTTACAAATTAATATCAAAGTGGGAGGTTTAGTTTCTTATCTGAGGATCTTTTAGTTCTTCATTGTGGAATTATAATGAATTTATTAATCTATATAGATCAACCAGAATAGGAGCTTGTTAAATATAAGGTACATTGGGATCTATTATTTGTCCACTCATAGCTGTCTCTAGAATACACACATAGTAAAAGATTTTTTTAAATCACCAATTAAAAAACTATTTTTAGTAAAGAGAACTAGAAGCTTCAGCTTTATTACTGAGCCATAGGATCAAAATTAACAAGGAAACCTAATCTCAGACTTTATAGGACTGTGCTCTTTTCAGTGTGTGCAAGACTTTTTCCGGAGTGATGTGATCTGAGCTTTTAGTAGCATACAAACAAGCAGACATGCGAAGAACTAACAAACCAAATTTTGTGTCATCTGCCACCCGACTGTCAACATATGTCAACATATCCCTGATGTCTGTCATCCAAAGAGACTTCATCTGCAGATAGATTCCCTATTGTTGTTGACACCAGTTGGGAATGTATTATTAGGCACAAGCAAAGCAAAATCAGAGCCAAAGTTCCCAACCAGAAATAGAAACAAACACAACAAAAATTTAAAAAACACATTATAAACCAAAGTAGGAAATAAGAAAACATAAACAGGAAACCATTCTGTTGCCTTTTAAGATTAAATCTAGGCCAAAAAAAAGGCAAGTGTGGGCTTGGAGACCTGAGCCCATGAAGACAACACAGCTTAATTTACTGCAGAAGGGAGTCCATTTGAACTGTTTTAATGGGACTTCCACACCATCAAAGCATAGTACTCAAAATCGAAACATGATTATCAGAAAAAGTAGCAAATTCTGAAGTTTTACTGAACATATTAGAAAACTACCATAATGACAAGGTAGTCCTAAGGATGATTTGAGAAACTCACGTAATTATATACACAAATAGATTTAAGAATACTAAAATAAGGTTGGTAAGATTCAAAACTGGATAATGTGCCTTAAATCAATAAAACCATTATCTGTTGGTCATTTTCTCTACTAGACTGGTGACATTAATGAAAAGTAGTTTTAGTGAAGTGATAGAGACAAATGTGACTCAAATTAGTGCAGAAGAGAAAAGGATGAGTAGATATATCACTAAAAGTCTCCTTAAAGAGACTTTTCAGCAAAATATTAGTAACTCGAAGGAAAAGGGAGATAAAATAACGATGATGGGATTTTTGTTTGAACTTAAAGTGAACTCATCTTAGAATTATATTTAGGTACTAATAAATCACTTTATTACCTATTCTGAAATCAGCTAATTGAGCAATGGAAAGGGTGCTGCAGCAAACTTGATGTTGCATAACCTATATATACCGATATATATTAATCAAATCTTAGTGTTACTAGTAAACAAATAAAAAAGAAAGGGTTGGGTGACAATAGTCTTGATGTCAGAAAGACTGGAAAGCTTTATAAAGCAGAAGGCCTTAATTTTCATCTGAAAGGATTCATCTGAAAGGTTCATGTAAATGATAGTAATAATTTTTCAAGCAATAGAAGCAGAAAAAATTAAGACTAAGAAATGGAAGAGTAGGAGATACATTAGTGCTAAAACCGTGAACTTTGGGTTATTAGATGAATCAGACTGAAAATGCTTTAATGTCTTATTATGAATATCATAATGTGCACAATTATTTAGGAAGTCATACTTGTCATCATACCATATAAGAATGATTTCAAGCATCTAAGAGATATCTTATTTTTTGAGGAAAAATTATATCTCAAAATTTATTCACAAAACATTTCAATATAACTTCTTAATTCAGCCTCCCTAAATGGTAATGCTTGCTGCACAGATTCCTCTCAGAACTTTTATTTATCATAATATTAGGATTTATTCTGACTCACACCTTGACTGCCATCATCACTGTTAAAGGTTCTCTATTAGCTAATGTGTATTTTGCACTTTGAAACAGGAAATAGAAAAGGAAAACATGAGGTGGTGGTAAGGGTCTTGTGAGTCAGTTTTTGCAAGTATTTTAAGGAAACTTAAATATAAGAGGTTCACTGGTCAGTAACACTTATCTCCCCACTGATAGCATTGGTTGTTTCTGTTCACTGTTTTTAAAATGTCCATAGATCACTCTGTTGAAATGGCATTGTCACAAGCTGTTCTTTAAACATTGGGGGGATGGTGATTTGATCTCATAGTATCTGTGGCTGTAGGTCTAGTACTTGACTGGCTTTTTCCCGTAAAACTGTGCCTGGATTATTTCAGAAATAAATAGATTTAGAATTTCAGTTATGCTGACCTGTAATTTATGGACGCATATATGTTTTTACTTTGTAAATATAGTTCATTTACCCCCAAAATGCAAGGCAGACGGATGGGGACTTCAGGAAGAGCCATCACGAAGAGCACCAGTGTAAGTGGAGAGATGTACACACTGGAGCATAATGACGGCAGCCAGTCAGACACAGCTGTGGGAACCGTTGGAGCAGGTGGGAAGAAGCGGAGATCCAGCCTGAGTGCCAAAGTGGTTGCCATAGTGTCTCGGAGAAGTAGAAGCACATCTCAACTCAGCCAAACAGGTAAGTGAGGTGCGTTCCACTTAAGCATCTCAAGTTTTTGCTGGAGTGACAAAAATTGACCTTCATGCTACAACTGGTATTGGGATTGTAGTGTGTATTTGGTTCTTCTTTGGCAAAGAAACTTTATTTTTTTAACTCTGAAAATATGCTCAATTCATGGGATTTTTTTTTTCTGCACAGCTCTCTGAAGAAGGTATCATTTGTTAATCTGCAAAGTGATCAGACATTTTCCTGTAAACTAAAAAAAATTAAGGCCATGTTTACAAATATGCAAGGAAATGCAAAGAAATATTAGAGATCCAAATTGAATTATATGCAAGAAAAGCAACAGGATTCTCTTTTTCAAAATGTTCCATGATTCAATTATCTACAATTCAGACTCTATCTATATTTTTTTTTTTATAGAAAAGAAGGTCAGTTGTGCAACTTGAAATATAGTCTTCAAGGTACTGTATGAAAATAATTGGTCTGTGTTTGGTATAGTTTCAATGCAAGTAAAAACCCAGAAGCGGTTTTTACTTTAGAAAAATGGGTCAGTGAATTCCTGCAAAGAAAAATGTTTTAATACAAATTTGTGTTTCAAATGTTTTCTGCTGCTTATGTATCTTAAAAGCTTTATGTCCTGAAGGTATATATTAAAAAAGCAAATGCAGAAGGTAGAGTGACTATTTGTTATTGTAAAATATAATAAAAGACTGCTTTAAATTATGTAATATTTGAACACATGTATTACATAATTTATTACTATCCTCAGTACTTTGTAAAACTGAAGGTAAGTGAAATAGTGAACCAATTTAAATTGTCAGAACTCATTTCTCCTCTTGTAACCAATGGTTCCATTTTCTGTTCCTTAATAGCAAGATCCCTGTTGTTACAAAATTTACTTATGAGAAAGCCTCTATGAAATTTTTTATATCTCACTCAGTGTTCTGGGAAGCACATATTTTAAATTATGCACTCTACTGGATGTATTGACAAGTAAACAGAGTAGGAAATTTTGAGCCATTTATAAATTGAATTGGGGCATATGACATTTTTATCTGTATAAAATAAAAATGGTTTATCCTAAGGTTAGAATTAACCTAGTATAACTAGCATTCCTGTGATAGGTCTGCCTTTTTGCTACCCAGTAAGATAAGGTGTTCTTCTCTTTTTAGTGTTAAGGAGATTCATTTGTCCTCCTTAGGGTCAGGTTTCTTTAGAGTATGAGTAGGAGGTGTTTTTCCATTTATGTTGTTTTGTTGCTTGATTGTTTTTATGACCAGTGGTTCCTGGTTACTGGTTTTGATGTAATTATGCTCTGCAGTATAGATGTGGGATGTAGGGTATAGAGAAAACTTAGACTTCAGACTGCAAAATACGTTATTACCTGGATGAAACTGGGATGTTCTTCGATGTCACTTAACGAAACCTAGGCTTCCTCAGTGAAATGCTGCAGGTTGAGATTGCTTATCTTCTCCCCCCAATACACACAACTCTGTTTCCTTTCTAGTTGTTTAGGGAAACAAATAACTGGTTTGTTTGTTGAGTACTAGTTGAATAAAATAAAGTTCTCTTAGAGTTACATAGGAAGTATACTTGTGGCACAACTTTGTAGGTAAAAGGTTTAAATAATTACTGTGGAAACACTCAGCTCTCTTTGCTTTATTAGTTTAAGCTGTATCCCAATTATATGACTTTCAAATAGTGTCACCTTTCCAGAAATTTCATGGCTAAAAACTTCCATACTTTCAGAGATTGGGTTGCCACATATGAGTGTAAAAAGGCCAAAGTAGCAAAATGGTTCTACCCTACAGTGACTCTGGGAATGATGTTCAACCTCTCTCAGAACACAGTTTGCTTATGTAATGATGGGATGAACTTTCCAAATGTAAAATTTTATGATTCTCTTTCTGCACATAATTTTTACCTTTTGTCTGATAACCTGTTCATTCTTCTGATTTTTCTAGAGCAGATGACAAATGTTGATAATCTTCAATTATCATTTCCCTTTGTTTCAGAGAATAGCCTGATTTTTTTCTCTTTTCTCTTCTACTTGTGATTTTAATTTATTTTCTTCCATCAGTGATTATATTTCATCACTCCTGTAAATATTTACCAAAATTCAGAATTTCTATGAGGAGTCTTATTTTTTACTGCTTCAGCTTCTGCATGTGGTCATCAAATCTGTATTTCTGGATTCTTCATCATTCAAGAAACAGTCCTTCATTTTTATTGCCCATTAGAAAGCTCCCCTTGAATGTCCCAAGCTGGTATTTCCACATCTCTTAATTTCTAATTTACTTTAGAATATTTCAATTATAAATAATATTACTTTTTAAATCTCTTCTACAGTTCATAATGGAGATGGGAATGACTTTTTTTTAACCTAAGAGAGTGGAATAAGCAAGTAAGTTTACAAACATTTAATCTTGTTGTTGATGTTAGTTAATGTCAGCCGATCAAGCACATGGCTAAAATCCTATCATTAAACAGTAACCGGATTAGGTTGAAAGTGTGAAAGTAGTGAAGGAAAGGGAAATTCTAAGGAAAGGCCCTTCAATCAGAAATATTTTGGAATTGCATGAGACTTTGGGTAAAGTTTGGTCTGAAGAATGTACAGGAGATTTTAGTTTCCAATAGTTTAGTGACCCAACCTGTGTATGCAATATGAGAACTTCTCCTCTCACTTGCTCACTAATTGTGTGATATTCCACCAGTGGTACTTCTCTCTTTACTAATAAGTGAAGGCATTATTAGGAAGGATCCACAGATCTGTGAAGAATCATCCCTAAATTCACTCTTGAAATTATGGTAATAAATATTATAAGAATGACAAATATTCATGTGTCTATGTGAATAAAACTAATAACATATCTATATTCCTAGACCTTTCACTTGCACTCTTAAGTTATGTATATGGATATGTGCTTGTAAGTTCACTCCCTTATTGGTCCCAAGAAACTTACGATTACTATCCCTACTTTGAAACTGAAGAAAATAAGACATAGACACTAGGTAAATTGGAAAAGGTCCCATAATAAGTGATTGGGTCTGGATTTATTCACTGTATGTGTAGTTTTTTGTTTGTTTTGTTGTCATTGTTTTGTTTTGGTTTTCAGACTCACCCAGGCTGGCTTCAAATTGGTAGGTGGGTGCTCAAGCAGTCCTTTCGCCTCAGCCTCCCTAGTAGTGGTATGCCACCATGCCTGCCTTGGGCCTGAATTTAAATCCCAGATGCCAGTGCAGGAGCCCATGCTCTTAACCACTATGCTAAAAAGTTTCAAATCAGGTTCAACAAATATTTATCAAACAACTGTATGGTTAGTATGTAGTGGGCACCATGTCAGGCCCAGGATTAAGAGCTGGGAATAAAAGGATGAGTGAAATACCGTCCCTGCTCCCAAGGGTACACAGTATAATAAGGCAAGTCACATATATTATTCCAGCTCAGGAAAGGGAATTGTTCAAGTGTCAGAGAGATGCAGGGGAAGCACATAAAAGGAGGTGATTCACTCTCTCATATAGTTCTGAAAGACCTTCCTGACGAAATGAGGCCTAACAAAAACATAAATAAATCAGGAAAATGACACTGGGAAGTACCTTCCAGGGCACAGGAAATAACACTCTGATTATATGTTGAAATTGTTGAGTGATTACTCCCCTGGGATATGGGAAATAACTCTATGTGAATCCTAAAACTATACGAAAGATTTCTGTAATTCTAATGGCTGCTCCTCCTATATACAAAGGATAGGTCACGTCAGGACAGATCTTAAATCAAATTAACACTGTACATCCGAGACCATGATTTCTGAAAAGGATTTTTTAGCTTCTATGAAGAAAATACCTATCAGTATAAAATATCATCAGTTTCATAAAATAGAAATTATTCAGTTTACTTTATATTATGGATAAACCATAACTCTAGTGCTATACCAGGTATGCTGAGTATTCAGAAAACAGAAGCACCATCAAATCATTCACACATGAGCCACATATGAGCCAAATAACTAAAATGAGAAAATGTGAAATAAAATGCCAAACATAATAAAATCCAGTGCTGTTTATGTACATTTCCAAAGGAAGTTGGAAGACAATTGATCAAGGACCTGAGTCTCCCAGGAAGAAGGAACATATAGAACTGATAGATGATTGTGCTTTGCCCAAAGGCCAACCATCTGACCACAAGCTCATCATTGCTTAAGTCATTATATCCGAGGATATTTTTTGTTAAATGACTATTTCTTCTACATATTGGCAGGATTTTGACAATTATACTCTGATTATGGAAAAGGTTATAGGACTAATTTATAATTTTCAAACCATCAGGAGTCGATTATGTTATGCCAAATAAGAATGTACTAAAATTGCTTCTATGCATATTTAATAATAGATATTTTGTACCTTTTCAATATTTTTTTTCTCTATCAATGTTTTTTGCCTGTATTCAAAACCTTTCCTTTGAGACCCTGCTTGGGATCCTCTAACTCTGTAAGTTGTCTCCTATTGTTTTGACACTCACCAGAATCTTGCTTTTCCTGCACATACCTAGATTGAGATCTCAAACTTCATTGTTCACCTGATACAAACAAAATTTGGGGGCTACTTCCATGAGCAAAATAATAGGTACATATTTAAAGGTAAAGAAAAAGATCTCACATAGGCACAGATAAACAGAAAAGTTCCACATTCCCTCTTGGTAAAAGAATCTAAACCTAAAAGACACCTTTCAGTCATAAGCCCTGATGTGTGTTTCCTTTTTTGTGTGTTACCATGGATGCATGGAGCAGGGCCTAGGTGCTTGCCTAGATGCCTGGAAAAGCCTTCTCTATCTGTTTTAGAATCGAGGCATTCACAAAAGGTCAGTTCTGCCTTCTGGCTGCTTCTGTTTTCCTGTAAAAATTCTTAAAACAAGGAATAACAAAATAAATTTATGGAACTATTAAAAAGCTAATAATCTAATGGAAAGAAGAAGGAATTATACTGGGAGAAAACCACAAACATATATTTCAATAAATTAATCCCAGTCCATTAGTACATTTTGGCTAGAGCAAAGAAAAATTTATAGTTATACTGGGAAATAGGTTTTGAAAAAGGATTGGGATAAGGATTTGAGAGCCCCTTTAAGGATCTTTGTTCACCATTTGATACGATACTTTTAATTAAAAGAATAGAAGAAAAACGGTTGCATTCCTGAAGGCTTGAACTGGAGGCAGTTGCAGAGAATCAGTGAGGAACAGCACGTGGAAATAAGAAGGGGAGGTGAATACTAGTGGGTGAAATGCCAGATGGTTGTGTAGTGAGCTGAAGAAATCACTACAGAGATGGAAAGAACTAGAGTTCACTTAGGAAAAGGAATGAGTCCAAGGCAGACCCAGCAGAAGACAAGGTGGAATCCCGTATTCAAGGACAACTGATGAGGAAAGAAAGAAGACTATGGAGAAAGGGGTGGGACGGGATCTGAAATGAGACTGAGCCACCGAAGACAAAGAATAGTTCCAAGGGAGATAATGATTTTATTTTTTTATTTTTTTTAAAGATAGAGTGAGAGACGGAGGGAGAGAGAGAGAGAAATTTTTTTTTAATATTTATTTTTTAGTTCTCGGCGGACACAACATCTTTCTTTGTATGTGGTGCTGAGGATCGAACCCGGGCCGCACGCATGCCAGGCGAGCGCGCTACCGCTTGAGCCACATCCCCAGCCCCGAGAGATAATGATTTTAAAGAGAAGGTATTAATCCTACAGAAAGGTTAAACAGTAGGTGTTTGGATTTAGGAACTGAGTGGATTTTCCTGGCCTTGGGTTTGGATAGACAGTGAGGAAGCAGCACAGGACTTAGCATGGCTGGAGCCCATCCCACTCTCCATCCTGTCATTTGTTTCAGCTCCTACTCTAACCATCTCATCCACCTCCCATTGGAATCAGAATGAGGCCCTTATCATGGATAGAAGGAACTAGGACACAGATGCTATTCATAGTAGCTCAGTAGCATAAAGTGAGTCTGCCCCACCATCTCTAAAGGCTCTTTACATGGATGGGGCTGGGGCTGAATAAAATGGATAAATAGAGGCAATTATTATGAGTTTCTCTTCCAGAAGTTTAACATTAGGAAGAATTGAGATTAAGAGTGACCAGTACTTCTTTCTTCCATTCTAAAGACATTTACTAAAGAGGAATTTAAGAAGTACCAGGAATAAGTGGGAGGGGGGGTTGTGTGAGTGTGTGTGTGTGTGCACACGTACCTCAGAACAAATGAAGTCTGAGAATGTTTCCAGGATGAAGTGTAGGAGAAAAAACCTCTAGATGGAGAGATTAAATGATGCAATACAGAAAGTTTTGGTTAATGGTGTAAAGTTCCAGAGAACAGAGATAATTTAAGAGCACAAGTTTATTCTTGGAGAGTGCGAAGGATGATTCTTTTCCTGGGTTTGATGGAAAAGGAAAAATGGTTAAAATATAGACAAGTATCAAAATGGGAGTATTGAAAACCAAAGGAGCTTGAGTCAAAGACCCTTGATCTTCCCAATGCACATAAAGTAGGAGCAAATAGACAGAATAAGGACATAGGATGAGAAATATAAGAAGTTAATTGAAACAAACAAAAGTGCTGCTGAACCCCAGCATGGTGACACACACCTCCAGCAGCTTGGAAGCTGAGGCAGGAGGATGGCTAGTTCAAAGCCAGCCTCAGCAAAAGCAAGATGCTAAGCAACTCAATGAGAACCTGTCTCTAAATATAAAGTACAAAATTGGGCTGGGGATGTGGCTCACTGGTCAAGTGCCCCTGAGTTCAATACCCAGTAACCTACCCCCCACACACACAGACACACACACACACGCAAAAGTACTGATGAGAAGGCCTGGAGTTTCAGCTGATTTTGGATAATGCAAATTATCTGAAAAATAATTTTTAAAAAGCATTTGCTAGGGATCAAGGCCACCTTGAAGATATCCAGTCCATATTAGCTTCTCTTTTCTTTCAAGAGTATCTTCCCTGCTTCTCTGAATTCCCAGTATCTGACCAGCATTTTGAAATCACCCTAATATTCTTTGAAAGTATATTCCTATGATCTTCTAGAGTCTTTATATATGTACACACACACACACACACACACACACACGATCTGTTAAGGATTGAACCAAAGGACTCACACATGCTGAACACCCACAGCCACTGAGCTATATCCCTAAATGATGGTCTAGGTCTTGAGCTTAGTTTAGAAGTTTTTCTGCCATGGGCTCATGGAATGCTGTTTATTATTTTGACTCTTTAGATCATAAATACCAGAAATTTGATGCTCTGTCCTAGCTTTCTTTTATCTACTGATATTACCTTTTCCCAATGCAATGAGCAAATTCCATATTTATTCTGAATATGGTTCTTATAAGATTTTTTTTCTTTTTCCTTTCACATTTTTATCTCTATGAAGCATTTCAGGAGATCTGCCAGTGGACTTAAAAACTGTATAGTGTTCATTTTCCCACAAGGCTACATTAGAAAAAAATATATAAATATTCTAATTTTGAAGTACACTAATAAATGTTTTATTTCAAAGTAGGTTAATAAAGAGTTTCTGAATTTCCAAGTTATGTCATTGACTTCTCAAGATTAAATCATTGGTGGAAACCAAAAATATTGCCCTTGTTCTTCTGTCAAACAATAACATATGTTCATAAAACTATGTAATTCACTTACACCTCAAGGGAGAATGCTTAATTAAGCTTATTTCCCCATGAGTTCAAGGCATTATTTTTAAAATCTTGTTGTTCCTGTATAATAATTATGCCTCCAAATGCCAAAAATCCTAAATCCTCTTCCACCGTTCTCTTTTCAGTTTTCTTACCAAAAGTCACACAGGTGACACAAACCATAAAATAAATTGAGTGAGTACCTGCTGGTAAGGCACATTTACCTCAGGAAAATGAATGTCTTACATTTACCACAAGACTTATTTCTTCCCCTTCCAACCAGTTCACTCTACCAAGATATTCTCTATGTTTTAGTGTAGAACTGTTTTGTGAAGACTCTCTACCTTTAGCTTTACAAAAATAAGTTTATAGCTGCTGGGAAGCAAAACTTAAGCAGTCTCTGAAGATTTTAAGAAAATTTTCTTGGATCTGCTGATTATTAACAATGGAAGTAAAAAATACTTAACAAAGGATATGTGCCCCCCCCCCAAATTTTCAGAAACTGTAAGCTACTGTGGATCGAAATCTTGCTTAGATCTAAATTCCTTATCTGTGCCTCATTTATTTGATTCATTTAACAACACAAGAAAAACATTCTGAGGAACGTAATGTTTCATGTTCTTTGTTTCCTGAGCACAAAATAACGGTGCCAGAAATGATTCTCCTGTCTGCAAAGCCATCAAATTAATGTAAGCATGGGTTCTTTTATTTACTGTTTCTGTCTGGCGTTGGAATTCACTACTGTTAATAGAGATTCAATTCAGCTATAGTAACTCATCTTCTGAGCAGATGCCCTAATAAGGAGTAGTATTTTCAAACATACTCCAGCTGCTATTTTTGTTCTTTTGCTTGCTATGAACGATAAATCTTGAGTTTGGCTGACTAAATTGTACATACACTTTTGAGTTGAAAGAAAAAAAATATTGATTTGAATAGAATTTTTAAAAATTTTTGTAGCTTAGGATTTAGAGGAAGGAAGTAAATTTATCAAGTGTGCCTTGAAAAAGGCACAATACTAAGAATTCAACTGATTACATGTGGTGATAATTAATTTAACTTACTAAGATAATTTTTAAGTATGAGAGCAATTTCAGAATGGGTGTCATAAGATATTGTAGCAAAATATGGGAAAAGAAATGTTTCTGATTATATATAAGCATATGGCCAATTATAGTACACCCTCATTTAAGTACATAGTGATTTTTAAGATATTTTCTTGATTGTTAATGTTTTCACATTTTTAACACAGAAAAGCAAATGGAAGATAAAATTCATACAGTGTTACCTCTAGTTGCAAAATCATTGTGATTGTATATTAAGGCTACTCTTTTTATGAGTTTATATTAACAATGCAGATAAAATCATTAGCAATAATAGTTATAAGTTATTGAGCAATTGCCATATGCCAGCCAGAGTTGTAATTGCTTTGTATGTATTAATTATTGCAGTCCATAAAACACAACCACATGGCACTATTATTATTCCCATTTTGCAGGTTCCATGACTTACCTGAGGTCACATAACTCTTAGAAACTGAAGTAGAGCTTTCATTTTTAAGAACTTCACCACAATCCCATTCAAGTGTATGTACACACAGAAATACCCTTTTATATGGATTTCTAAAACAA